TGAAGAACACTCCCCATTTACATGTGATACAATTCAACCTATTTTCTTTAATAGCAACAGTGTATTACAGCCCCTGCATTAAAATATTATGACTGACAGTATTGAGCGCTTTACTAAGGTCTAACAGGATAAACACAGAGCTGAATCCACTGTCAGAGGCCATAAGAAGATCAATCTAACCTTCACTAGTCCTGTTTCTATACTATGAGGAATTCTGAAATCTGACTGAAACTCTTCAAGCAGAAAGTTCCCCTGCAAATGATCACCCAGCTGTTTCACAGCTACTCTTTCAGGAACCTTTTAAATAAGAGGACGGCTGGAATTCAGCCTATAATTAACTAAGACATGTGGTTCCCATCTATCCAAGTACTAACCGGGCCTGACACTGCTTAGCTTCTCAGATAAGACGAGACCAGGCATCGTCAGGTGACAGGCTTGAATTTGTGGGATCATATTCTCATTGATAGCAAAATGTGTTATTAATTAAACTTGTGTATTATTGGAATCTTTCTGTCTGTCACTTACCTGTAGCAGGTAGCGCATTTGTTGCTTGGTCAGTTCGGTAGCTCCTTTTGGAATCAAAGCCTCCACCTCCTCTTTATCCACCTGAAGTTAAAGAATGACAAAAACACTTTTACTTTAGGTTTTTGTTTCCAAGGACTTTAGTCAAAATCTCTCACATTCTGCAGAAAATGTCTGGAATCTGATTAGTTTCAAGCTTGTGACTCATTTTGACCGCAGCTTATGTTGTTGTGTCTCTCTGAGATCTCCTCAGATTCACTTATCAGTTACTTGTGTGATGGAAGATTGGTTCTCACCATGGAATCTTTTCCCAAATTCATCTGGTGTTTCCTGGAACACAAAGCAAGGAAAACAATGATTAAAACAGCGTGTTTAATGACTCTATCTGAACAAAAACATGTTCATCTCTGATGATGCATCAAAGATTTGGGCTCCTTTTGGTGCACAAACTTATTTTATGGTTGAAAAATGAAATTTAGGTCAATACTGAGATTAGGCACCATACTTAAGGTCACATAAGGATCATTTCCTGGTGCTCTGCTTTTCTACTAATGTGTGGATAAGATCATGTGTTTTCCTGTGTTCCCAGAGGAGCGCCTGTTGGTGCCACTCTGACTAGCTCCTCTGTCCCATCCATATTCATCAGGGTGTGCGATCTGGCTAATGACAGCTGCAGCATTTTAAAGAGGTTTTCACCTTTTCACGGAAACATTTCTTGATTATATGAAAACATCCCGAATCTCACCAGACTTGTCAGCGTGATATTTATTTCAGCCTAATTGCTTAGTCTGGACTGCGAGTCAGCGCACGTACAATAGTGTGGAACAAGTAAGTACATCTGTGCTCGGTGATTTAGAGACATGTAGGTGGTTGGCAGGAAGGTGAAAAGTTATGGCTACCCTCTCACTCACCCACACCTCATGAATCAACTGGGTGTTAACTTAATGGAGCTCCATTTCACTCCCATTGGCCTTTTTAGCAAACCTGACCTACAGTTCATGTCATCATCCTTTTTTCTTACCTTGGTTTCCTGTACTAACATGCAGAGTGATGTGAAAATTAAGCAGAAACTGATGACGGTGAACATGTGCAAAATCAGCATGGATCATTCAAAATACACGTGCTGTACCAGGTTACGTTTTCAGGTGTACATACTGTATAATAGGGGTGGGGGAAAAAATCGATTCTGTGT